TCTTAGAAAGTTAGATCCTGCAACATTATCGCACTTCAGTCTTTCTCGTTATTTTTTCAGTGGTTAGAGTTAGTTTTATACTCCGTTATAATTTTTATTTCCTATTTTTTCCATAATGGAGCATCTGAAATTTATTCTCATTAAACATCACATTGGTTTCATTGTCTCATTGGAAGACTTGGTTTGCATCTGCATAGAAATTTGCAGTGTCCTTAATGGATGTAACTCTCATGCAAATTTTAATATTTTTTGCTAAGGATGATGTGGTGCAATTGTTTATGCCCCATCCTAAGTCAGATATAAGAATAAGGAAAATAACAGAGGAAAGTATCGTGCCTTGTGGAACAGAGCTTTTCACTGTGGCAGCCTCCGTCTTAGTTCTTTTTAATATCATTCTTTTCGTTCTGTTTGCTAGAAACTTAAAAATCCACATGCCCACTTTTCCAGCTATTCCGTTTGCATGTATTTTGGGCGCTATTACAACCTGATCGCACTTGTCGAAGGCATTTGCAAATTCAATGTGCACCACATTTGCATTTTGTTTTCTAGTGCATTTAAGACCATGGTGTAATGATCCAATAGTTAGGAAAGTCAGGAGCGGCCTGCTGTAATTGTTGTGAATCCATGTTATTAGTTAATAGTTGTTTGTTATTGTTTTGTTGCCACTATTTTGGAGTGTTAAATGTTGCAAGGTAAATCACTCTCCAGTCAACCCACAACAACATTAATGGTATATAATACCGACAAGACTACAGTGGTAAACACCAGCATCTATACCGAGTGACGGATTACCTAGTCTTCTACTGTCTCCAGTTTCAACACCTTCAAATAACCTCTGCACTGATTTGATAAAAATCAATGGCTGGAGAATCATCTTCATAATAAAGATACCCAGGTGTTGAACATGTGACTTATTCATCATCGGATGTTGGATGACCCCCGTGTCACCTTCACCTTCACCGTGTCACCTTCACCATTACCGTGTCACCTTTTCCATAGAATATTTAACGATCTGTTAGGGATTTCTTGCAGTTCTTGATAACTATGGAGTTCCACGAGTTTGGTCTTAAGATAGAGTCCTAGTATACAGTGGCTTCTCGAAGTCGAGTGAGTATATCGAAAATTTTAAAGATGTTGAGTCTCATTTATGAAAAATTCACTCGAATTATCAACCGAATGAATAACAGCTCGCTGAACGAAGAATCATATTGAGACGTCAGTATTTCTTTGCTGGTATCAATGCAGGCTCAATCTTATTGAAGCCAGAGATCGATACTGGATGTGGTTTTTGCTCTGGATTTTGCATATGATAAGAAGTGTTTTGAGTTTTTTTTTCATTTCATTGATAGCTTTTAGTCCCTTTGACTCTCCTGCACTCTGCATGATTCATTCAATTTCAGATCAGTATCTTTATTTCTCTAGCCGTTACTTCCTTCTGCACTTCAGAAACTCTGGCTCATTTTTGAAGTTTGGTTATTCTTCGTCTTCTCCTGTAGAAGGAGCGCCTCTATCTTTCTAGCTTGCATATTCTCTTCTTTTCCTTAGTGGTAAGTGATTTGAGCATACTTTTAGTGCGTCATATTTAATTATCTCGTGACACTGGTGTGGATCCATGTTACTCAATAAATCTTCCTAGCATATTTCATTAAATAAATGATTTATTTAATCCCAGTTATGTTCCTATTCTTATATTTCGTACCAGATCATTATTATTCGTGAATATAAGATCAATGACATTTTCTAGTCTTGTAGGCTCCACTGTTTCCTGGTTCTAGGTAAATTTGTTAGAGTTTTAATTATTCATTTATGTGAGACTGTTCATCTAAGCTATCTTCTGATATTAAATATTCTATTATAGTTAATATTCAGATAATTATCTCAGTAATTTTATAGGTTTTTATTATAAGTAAGATATTAGTATCTATTAATTTCCTTTGTGATTGCTGCACAGTGTTTTCTCTTTAATTTTCACTCTTAATCTCCTCCTACTGTCTCTCTCTTAACCTCAGTGAGACAGGTTATATGTCTCAGAGAATATATGATTAGAGTTTACTTTAATACTTATCTTAGGGATTAATTCTGGTGGTAGAAAGGCTACATGCAGCCTTAATGGCCATCCTGTAGTAGACAGGCTTTAAACCCTATTAACCAATCAACCAACCTTAATCTAATCTCTTCACCTCTCTCTCTTTCTCTCTCCTGCACTAACACTTGCTGCCTTTCTCTGCTGCACTAACACTTGCTGCCTTTCTCTCCTGCACTAACACTTGCTGCCTTTCTCTCCTGCACTAACACTTGCTGCCTTTCTCTGCTGCACTAACACTTGCTGCCTTTCTCTGCTGCACTAACACTTGCTGCCTTTCTCTCCTGCACTAACACTTGCTGCCTTTCTCTGCTGCACTAACACTTGCTGCCTTTCTCTGCTGCAATAACACTTGCTGCCTTTCCCTCCTACACTAACACTTGCTGCCTTTCTCTGCTGCACTAACACTTGCTGCCTGTCTCTCCTGCACCAACACTTGCTGCCTGTCTCTCCTGCACCAACACTTGCTGCCTTTCTCTCCTGCTCCAACACTCGCTGTCTCTCTCATTCACACTCCCAGGAGTCAGTAATATCCCCTCAGCACCAAGAACATTACCCCTCTTACCACCACCTCCCCTCTTACTCTCTCCCCTCTTAATGTTTCTCTTTTTACTGCTTCCCTTCTTCGTCCCTCCATCAGTCCTACCTCCCTTCCTTTCTCTCTTACTCCCTCCCATTTCCCCCTCAATAGCTCTCTTTCTTCCCTTCCCTCCTCTTAACAGCTTTCTCTTCCTGTTCCTTTTTTCTTACCTAAACACTTTCATTTCCTCTTCTTATCAGTCCTTTCTCTTCATTCCCGTTAGAGATTTTTTTTTGTATATTCTCCCCCTTATAATCACCTTCCTTCATTCTATCTCCTGTTTCCCACTTCTCTCTGCCATCCTTTCTCCTATTCTTCCAAGTTTTTCATATTCTTTATTCTCCTAGCTCTTCTCCAGACTCTTCGCTATTCTCTCTACTATCTACGGTGTTATAGCTTTCCCTGCTGTCTTCTCTCTCTGCTGTTTTGACCTCCCTATTCTTCCCGTTTCCCAAATCATATACTTTCCTGTTCCTGGTCTCTTTGCTCTTACTCCTCTTCCTGCTCTTCCTCCTCTTCCTGCTCTTCCTCCTCTTCCTGCTCTTCTAGCACCTCTTCCTTGCCTTGCTTCAAATTAGAGTCCACGAGGGAAGCATCAAGACAACACAATGTTGCGAGGTTCCTGTGTGTGTATATGTGTGTGTGTTTGTGTGTGTGTTTGGTGTGGTGGGGTGTGTGTGTGTGTGTGTGTGTGTGTGTGTGTGTGTGTGTGTGTGTGTGTGTGTGTGTGTGTGTTGTGTGTGTGTGTGTGTGTGTGTGTGTGTGTGTGTGTGTGTGTGTGTGTGTGTGTGTGTGTGTGGTGTTGTGTGGTGTTTGTGTGTGTGTGTGTTATGTGTGTGTGTGTTGTGTGTGTGTGTGTTTTTTGTGTGCGTGTGTGTGTGTTGTGTGGGGTGTGTGTGGTATGTGTGTGTGTGTGTGTGTGTGTGTGTGTGTGTTGTGGTGTGTGTGTGTGTGTGTGTGTGTGTGTGTGTGTGTGTGTGTATGTGTGTGTGTGTGTGATACACAGGTATAAGTCTCTGGTGCCTATCGAAGTAGTCGTCTAGGAGGCGGGGCCAGGAGCTGAATCTCGACCCTCGAAAACATAAATCGATAAGCACACACATACACACACACACACACACACACACACACACACACACACACACACACACACACACGCACGCACGCACACACACACACACTCACACACACACACACACACACATAAACACACACACACACACACACACACACACACACACACACACACACACACACACACACACACACACACACACACACACACACACACATACACGGGGTGTGGAACCCACACCTAGCCAAGCACGTAAAGAAACTAGAGAAAGTGCAAAGGTTTGCAACAAGAGTAGTCCCAGAGCTTAGAGGTATGCCCTACGAGGAGAGGTTAAGGGAAATCAACCTGACGACACTGGAGGACAGGAGAGATAGTGGAGACATGATAACGACATACAAAATACTGAGAGGAATTGACAAGGTGGACAAAGACAGGATGTTCCAGAGATGGGACACAGTAACAAGGGGATACACTTGGAAGTTGAAGACACAGATGAATCACAGGGATGTTAGGAAGTATTTCTTCAGTCACAGAGTAGTCAGGAAGTGGAATAGTTTGGGAAGCTCTGGTGGCCTGGTGGTTAACGCTCTCGCTTCACACGGTGAGGGCCTGGGTTCGATTCCCAGCCAGAGTAGAAACATTGGACGTGTTTCTTTCCACCTGTTGTCTATGTTCCCCATCAGTAAAATGGATACCTGGGTGTTAGTCGACTGGTGTGGGTCGCATCCTGGGACACTGACCTAAGGAGGCCTAGTCACAGACCGGGCCGCGGGGGCGTTGACCCCCGGAACTCTCTCCAGATAAACTCCAGAAGCGAAGTAGTGGAGGCAGGATCCATACATAGCTTTAAGCAGAGGTATGATAAAGCTCACGGTACAGGGAGAGTGACAGAGTAGCGACCAGTGAAGAGGCGGGGCCAGGAGCTTGGACTCGACCCCTGCAACCTCAACTAGGCGAGTACAACTAGGTGAGTACACACACACAGACACACACAGACAGGCAGACAGACAGACAGACAGACAGACAGACACACACACACACACACACACACACACACACACACACACACACACACACACACACACACACACACATATACACAGGCACACGAAGTGGTAGAGACAATATTCATTCTTAATTTTAAGAATAGGTATGATAACGCTTACGCAGCCGGGAGAGTGTGAATCCAGTAGAGGACAGAGAAAAGACGAGGCCATGAGCTGAGATTCGACGTCTGTAACCGGAAATAGGTGAGTACTTACCGACAAGCGCCAACATAGAAGAGTTAGAGCCTAGCGTGTTAACGACAGTGCAGCGGTAGTGACCGAAGTCCTCTTGGGTGACGGAGGTGATGACCAAGGTGGATCTGCCAGTCCCCCAGGGCTCCCACGTCTCCAGCGACCCCTCTGTGCAACATACATTTAATGACCTTAATAGGTGAAGGGAAAGGGATGTTAGCACGACTTCCCACACCCTCTGTGGAACACACATTACATGACGTTAACAGGTGATGGGGGGACGTTAGAACACCCCCACTCTGTGGAACACACGTTACAAGACGTTAGCAGGTGATGGGAGGACGTTAGAACACCCCCACTCTGTGGAACACACGTTATAAGACGTTAGCAGGTGATGGGAGGACGTTAGAACACCCCCACTCTGTGGAATACACGTTACAAGACGTTAGGAGGTGATGGGAGGACGTTAGAACATCCCCACTCTGTGGAATACACGTTACAAGACGTTAGCATGTGATGGGGGGACGTTAGAACACCCCCACTCTTTGGAATACACGTAACATGACGCTAGCAGACGGTGGAGAGGTACGTTAGGTCCATCATTCTGTAGATCACGCGTTAAATGACGGTAGCAGTTGGTAGCGATGCTTCAAGGTGCGTTTAGAAGACAGGAAGTGAGGTTAGATTATATGGAATGGTTTAACAAAGTGCTAGAAAGTGAGGAAGAAATGTTAGACCTCAAGATGCGAGTCAACGAAATATTAGAAGCTAATAAGAATGTTAGAAGTGAAGTTGGGAGGTGATAGGCACAGTTAGGTGAGAAACACTGAAATAAAGCCGAGTGAAAATGTGCTTAAATATACCAGGAAGTAAAAACTAGATTATTATTATTATTATTGTTAGATGTTATTTTCATTGTTGTTATTACAATAGAAATAATAATAATTATTATTATTATTAGTAGTAGTATTGATATTATTATTATTATTATTATTATTATTATTATTATTATTATAATAATAATAATAATTATTATTATTATTATTATTATTATTATTATTATTATTATTATTATTAGTAGTAGTAGTAGTAGTAGTAATAGTAATAGTAGTAGTAGTAATAGTAGAAGTAGTAGTAGCAGTAGTAGTAGTAGTAGTAGTAGTAGTAGTAGTAGTAGTAGTAGTAGTAGTAGTTATGTAGTAAATTGGGCGTTAGGAGTGGTAGAGGCTCGATCCACCGTCCGCATTTAGGGACGAAGGATCGAGCCACCTAGCAACCACCTGAAGGATGTTTGGTAGAGGCGAGAGCAGCGCGTGTTGCACCTCAGCCAGAACCTGAGGCAAGAAGAGGTAATCCTAGAAGTAAAGAAGTGAGTGGAAAACTGAGGGAGCACTCCCTTGGGCGCTCTGGAGACACGTAGTAGACGATAAATGAGGAGAGAGATGTGGAAGAAAGCAAAGGAGGAGGAAGATAAATGGGAGAAACTAGGAAGAAAACTGTTGAAGAGGATAAATGGACAAAGGACGTGGAAGAAAACTAAGGAAAAATTAACAATGGGGAGACCATCGTAGAGGAAAACTACGGGAGAAAATAAATGAGTCGAGGTTTGAAGAAAGACGAAGAAAATGTTCAATACGAGATATGAGAGGAAGATAACTGAGGGGGGTTTAAACAAAGGGAAAAAAAAGGGGGAAAAAAAAAAATTTTGGGATGGGGGAGGGGGAAGGAAAAGGGGGAATAAGGGGGAAGGGGGGGTTTGGAAGGGGGGAAAAAGGGGAGGGGGAAAAAAGGGGTTGGGGGGTGGGGGGAAAACGAAAAAAGGAGGGGGAAAGGGTTTTCCCAGGGGTTAAAAACAAGGGGGATTAAAATTATTTTTGGATTTTAAGGTTTTTAACAAAGGGAAAAAAATAAATTATTAAAGGAGGAGAATTTTTATTTAAAATTTTTAAAAAAAAAAAAATTATTTTAAAAAAAAAAAAACTTGGGGGTAGGGGGAGTAGGGGAGGGGTAATGGGGGAAAGGGGGAGGAGAAAGGGGGGGAAAAGGGGAGGGGAGGATTTGGGGGTGGGGGAGGAGGGGAGGGGGGAAGGTGGGGGGTAGGGGGAAAGGGGGGAAAGGGGTTGGAGGGGAGGTTGGAAGGATTTGGGGAAAAGGTTGGTAAAAAATTGGAAGGATTTTTGGGGGAGGGGAAAGGAGAAAGGTGGGGGGGTGAAAAAGGAAAGGGGAAAAACCGGAGGTAAAGGGGAAGGTGGCCTTAAGGGGGAAGGGAAGGGGGAAGGTGGGGGTGGGGAAAGGAGGGGGGGATTTGGGGTTTTGGGGGGGGAAGGAGTGGGAGGAAAAGGAGGAGGAGGTGGAAAAAAGGGGGAAAGGAGGGGGAAAGGGGGATAAAGGTTGGGGGAAAAGGGGGAAAGGAAAAACGGGAAGGGAAAATGGAAAAGGAGGTGGAAAAGAAATAAGGGGGGAAAAAAAAAAGGGGGGAAGGGGAGGGGGGGGAAAAAGGGGGGGAAAAATAAAAGAGGGGGGGGGTTTGGGGGAAAAAAGGAGGTGGGGGAAAATTTTAAAGGGGGAATTGGGGGAGGGGGGGAAGAAAGGGGGAAAAAAGGGGAAAAAGGAAAAAGGGGGGGGGAAAGGGGAAAGGGGAGGGGGGAAATTTCGTGGGGGAGGGGGAAGAGGAGGGGAAAAATTAAATGGGAGGGGGAGAAAAGGGGGAAGGGGGGAAGGGGGAAGGGAAGGAAATAGGGGGAAAAAGGAAGGGGGAAGGGCAGGGGAGGAGGGGAGGGGGGGAGGGGGGGGAGAGGGGGGAAGGGGAAGAGGGGAGGGGAGGGGGGGAGAGGGGAGGGGGAGGGGAGGGGAAGGAGGGGAGGGGGGAGGGAAAGGGGAGAGGGGAGGGGGGAGGAGAGAGGAAAGGGATGAGGGAGGGAGATGGGGGAGGGGCCCAAAAGGTTTTTAGGGGAGGGGGAGGGGGGGGAAAAGGGGGGGGGGAAAAGGGGGAAAGGGGAGGGGAGGGGGGGGGAGGGGAGGAGGGGGGAGGGAGGGGGGAGGGGGGAAAGGGGGGGGAGGAGGGCAGGGGGGAGGGGGGGGGAAAAGGGGGAGGGGAGGGAGGGAAGGGGGAGGGGGGGAGGGAGGGAAAGGGGGAAGGGCCCAGGGAGGAGGGGAGGGGAAAGGGGGAGGGGGGGAGGGGAGGGAAGGGGAGGGGAGGGGGAAATTGGGGGTAAAAGGGGGAAGGGGGAAAGGGGGGAGGGGGGAGAAAAAAGGAAATTGGAAAATTGGGGAGGGGGAAGGAGGGGGAAAAGGGGGTGGAAAAAGGTTTTTGGAAAAGGGGGAAGGGGGAGGAAGAGGGGGAGGGGGATGTAAAGGGGAGGAAAGGGAGGGGGAAAGGGGGGGGAGGGGGGAGGGGGAGGGGGAGGGGGATGGGGGAAGGGGGGAAAAGGAGGGGGAGGGGGGGATAGGGGGAAGGAGGAGGGGGAGGGGGGGAGGGGGAGGGGGAAAAGGGGAGGGGAGGTAAAGGTGGGGAAAAAAGGAGGGGGAGGAAAAAGGTATGGGGGAAACAAAGGGGGAGGAGGGGGAAAAGGTTTTGGGGGTTTGGGAGGAGGGTGGAGGAGGGGGTTTGGAGGGGGGGAGGGGAGGGGAGAGGGGAGGTGGGGGAAAGGAGGGGGAGGGGGGGGGGGTGGAGGAGGAGGTTTTTGGAGGAGGAGGGGGGAAGGGTGGGGGGTTGGGAGGAGGAGGGGAGGGGAGGAGGGGGTTTGGGGTGGAGGGGAAAGGGGGGGGGGAGGAGGGGGGGAGGAGGGGGGGAAAAGGGGAGGAGGGGGAAAAGGTGGGGGGAAAGGGGGGAGGGGAAAAAAAGGGGGGGAAAAGGGGGGAGGAGGAGAGGAGGAGGGGGGGGAGGGGGGAAAGGAAAGGGGGAAAGGGTGGAGGTGGAGGAGGAGGAGGAAGGGGGGAGGAGGGGAGGAGGGGAGGAGGGGAGGAGGAGGGGAAGGGGGGGTTGGGGAGGTGGTGGGGAGGAGGAGGGGGGGAGGGGGAAGGAGGAGGGAGGAGGAGGGGGGGGGAAGGGGGAAAGGAGGGGGGGGAGGTGGGGGAGGAGGGGAGGGGGGAGGAGGAGGAGGAGGAGGGAGGGGGGGGGAGGAAGGGGAGGAGGGGAGGTGGGGTGGAGGAGGAGGGGAGGAGGGGAGGGGGAAAGGAGGAGGGAGGAGGTGGGAGGGGAGGAGGAGGGAGGGGGGAGGGGTGGAGGGGGGGGAGGGGAGGGAGGAAGGGGGGAGGAGGAGGAGGGGGGGGAGGGGGGGGGGAGGAGGGGAAAAAAGGGGTTGAGGTGGAAAGGAGGAGGGGGAGGGGGGGAAAGGAGGGGGAAAGGGGGAAGGTGGGGGGAGGAAAGGAGGAAGGAGGGGAGGAGGAGGAGGGGGTGGAAAAGGGAGGGGGAAAGGAAAAGGAGGGGAGGTGGAGGGGAGGAGGAGGAGGAGGAGGGGGTGGAGGGGGGGGAAGGAGGAGGAGGGGGGAGGAGGAGGGGGTTTTGGAAAGGGTGGAGGGGGAGGGGGGAGGAGGAGGGGGAAGGAGGAGGAGGAGGTGGGGTGGGGAGGGGGGAGGAGGAGGGGGGGAGGAGGAGGGGGAAAGGGGAGGTGGAGGGGAGGGGGAGGAGGAGGTGGGGGGAGGGGGGTGGGGGAGGAAGGGGTGGGGGGAGGAGGTTTTGGGGAGGGGTGGGGAGGAGGAGGAGGAGGAGGAGGGGAAGGAGGAAGGGGGAGGTGGGAGGGGAGGGGGAGGGGGGAGGAGGGGAGGGGAGGAGGGGGAGGGGGAGGAAGGGGAGGGGGTGGAGGAGGGGGAAAAGGAAGGTGGAGGTGGAGGGAGGAGGAGGGGGGAAGGAGGAGGAGGAGGAGGGGGGAGGGGGGAAGGGGAGGGGGAGGAGGAGGAGGAGGAGGGGGGGGAGGAGGAGGAGGGGAAGTGAGGGGAAGGGGGGGGGGAGGGGGAAAAAAAGGGGGAAGGGGGTGGGAAGGGAGGGGGGGAGGGAGGAGGGAGGGGGGTGGGGAGGAGGGGGAAAGGGGAAAAGGGGTGGAGGAGGAGGGGGGGGGAAAGGGGGGAGGAGGAGGAGGAGGAGGAGGGGAGGGGGGGGTGGGGAGGGGAGGAGGAGGAGGGGGAAAGGGGAGGGGGGAAAAGGAGGGGGGAGGGGGGGGGTGGGGGAA